CTTAATGACATGATGTATCACATTGATTTGCAAATATTGAACCATTCTTGCATCCCGAGAATAAATCCCACTTGATGGTGGTGAAATGTTTTGCTGGATTTGGTTTGCTAGCATTTTACAGAGAATTTTCACATTCGTGTTCATAAGGGTTATTGGCCTGTAGTTCTCCTTTTCTGTGGGGTCTTCATCTGGTTTTAGTATCAGGGCAATACTTGCCTCATAGAGTGAGGCAATTTTGGGGAATAGTTTGAGTAGAATAAGTATTAATTCTTCTTTAAATGTTTGGTACTATTTGCCTATGAAGCTGTCTGGTCCTGGCTTTGTTTGTTGGGAGTTTTTTGATTACTGAATCAACTTCATTGTTTGTAACTGATCTGTTTGAATCGTCTATTTCTTCCTGTTTCTGTTTTGGGAGGTTTTATGTTTGTAGAAATTTATCCATTCCTTCAAGGTTGTCTAATTTGTTGGCATATAGGTTTTCATAATATTCTTTTACAATTGTTTGTATTTCGGTAGTGTTGGTTGTTATTTCTCCTCTTTCATTGGTGATTTTGTTCATTCGAGTCTCCTTTCTTTTTGTTTGGATGAATCTGGCTTCAGGTTTATCATTTTTTGTTGATCTTTTCAAATAACCAGCTCCTGGTTTCATTGATCTTGTCTTTTTAGTTTCTGTATCACTTATTTCTGCTCTAATCTATATTATTTCCTTCTTTCTGCTGATTTGGGGTTTTGTTTATTCTTTGTTCTTGTTTATTCTTTTCTAGCTCCTTTGGGTGCAAGGTAAGTTTGTTTACTTGAGCTTTGTTCCTGCTTTTGAGGTAGTCCTGTATTACTATAAACTTCCCTCTAAAACCACTTTTGCTGCATCCCAAAGGTTTTGGACCATTGTGTTTTCACTTTTGTTTCCATGTACTTTCTGATTTCTTCTTCAATTTCTCAGTTGATCCAGTCATTGTTTAGTAGCATGTTATTCAATATCCATGCATTTGTGGTTTTTCTAGATTCTTTCTTGTGGTGATTTCTAATTTCATAGCATTGTGGTCAGAAAAGATGCATGGTATGACTCCTTGCTGAGCATGGAGCGTGATGTGGGGCTTGATCCCACAACTGTGAGATCATGACCTGAGCCAAAATCTAGAGTCATACACTTAATACACTTAACCAAATGAGTCAGCAGGTGCCTTTCATCTTTTTAAAGTGTATTTTGTCAAATATAACACACTCCAAAATCAATATAAAAGAGCTCACTCTTCATTGTGTAATCTATTGCTTCTCTGTTGCCTCTTGTCAGGCTGTTCTGTCTTTAAGGGCTGGTACCCAACTATTATTCGCTCTCCCAGCTTGCCCCAGGCTGAGTTGGCTGACTTTTAAAGTTCCAAGTCACACTCCAAACACATGGAATTCAGTCCCTCTGGTTTTCAAGGCCGGATGTTATGGGGATTTGTTTTCCTTGTGTGGGCTCACTGGTGCTTTCTCCTCTCCATGACTATAGTTCCCTCTGCACTGGCGGCAACTCCCAACCATTTCTGCCCTTCTTACCCTAATGCAGCTTCTTCTCTACATTTAGTTATGGAGTTTGTTCTGCCAGTCTTCAAATTGCTGTCTGGTTTACTGACTTGGATAGGTTGCACTTAGAATCCTCCATCTTCTTGGCACCTCCTCCATTTCTTCCAACCTTTTGTGCCTTTGTATCTAAAACGAGTCAGCATACAGGTGATGTTTTTTTATCTGTCCTCCCAATTTCTGCCTTTTAGTTGGAGAATTTACATTTAATTACTCATAATGGACTTCTGTTTATATGTTTTCTATATATGTAGTTCAATTCTTTTTCATAACTGAAATTTTGTACTGTACAATTTTTATTTCCTTTATATTTTTCTGTATTAGGTATATTCTTAGTAGTTATTTTTGCAATCACAGTATAACAATTGTGATTAAAACTAGATTGAAAAACTAGATAACAATCTAGCTTGAATAATACCTATTACATTTCAATAGTATACAAAAACTGCACTTCTGAATATATTTGTCCCTTTTTATATTGCTATTGTCACAGCTTACATCTCTATACATTGTGTGCCCATTAATATGGATTTATAATTACTTTGTACGTATTTGCCTTTAACTCATGCAAAAAAAAAGAAGAGTTACAAACCAAAAGTATAATGCTGGCTTTTATTTTGAATGTGGTTACCTTTACTGGTGTTCTTTATTCATATGGCTTTAAGTTATTGTCTATTGTCCTTTTATTTCAGCCTGAAGGACTCCCATTATCAGGGAATACCTTACTTTCTCTTTCATTCTCAAGGGATAATTTTGCTGGATATATAATTCTTCATTGAGTTTTTTCTTTCAGTACCTTAAATAGGTCATCCCACTGCCTCTCACTTCCATGGTTTGTGATGAGAAATTAGCTGTTAATTTTATTGAAGCGCCCCTTTTACATGAGGAGTTGCTTCTCTTCTGCTTTCATTATTATTGTCTCTACTGTTAAATAACTTGACTATGTGTCTCAGTGTGAATCCCTTTATTGTGTTTGGAATTTGTTGAGCTTCTTGGATGTGTAGATTCATATATTTCAGATATGGAAGGAGTTTAGCCATTATTCCTTAAATATCAATTCTGTTCCTTTCTTTTTCTCTTCTTCTGGAACTCCCATAATCCATATGTTGGTGAGCTTGATGGTCTCACAAGTCCTTTAGGCTGTTCACTTTTCTTTCTGCTCTTCAAACTAGATTTCAACTATTCTATCTTCAAGTTCACCTTTTTTTCCCCCTGCCTACTCAAATCTGTTGAATCCCTCTGGTGTATTTTTGCACTTCAGTTACTATAATCTTCAGCTCCAGAATTTTTATGTGGTTCCTTTTTAATAATATCTTCTGATATTTTTGTTTTATTCATTGTCTTACTGGTTTGCTTTACCTCGAGTATATTTAAGGCAGCTGGTTTAGAGTCTCTAAGAAGTGCAGTGTCTGGACTTTCTTGGGATGGTTTCTATAAATTTAACTTTCTTTTGAATGGGCCATACTTTGCACTTTCTTTGTATGCTTTGTGATTTTTGTTGTTGAAAACTAAACATTTGAATATTCCAGCATAAATCTGGAAATCAGAATCTCCCTCTTCCCCAAGGTTTGTACTTCTTAATTATTGAAGACTTTGCTGTTTTCAGCCAGTATTTTAACAAAGATTTCTTTGAATGCCGGGATCTTTAAAAAACAAACAAAAAACACCTGTCCCAGTCTTTACGGACTAGCTCTGTGCTGGGACACTCTTAACACTTAGACTATTGACAATTCTGTCTCAGCCTTCACTTCCTGCTTGCACCCAAGTCTACAGATCAGCGAGTGGTGAAAGTGTGGGGTCTTCTCAGATCTTTTCTGATATTTCCTGTGCTAGGCATGCATGTGGCTTTCCACATGCTTTTGAATGCCCTAATATCCCAAAGAAACCCTCTCCCTCACTTTTCTTCCCAGGTTTTAAGCGATCTATTGTAGGTCTCAAGTGTAATCTGTTGCCCCAGGTGGTCTCACTTTTTAAAAATTATTTCCTTAACATGTTTTCAAGCAATGCCTGCTGCTTCTCCACCCTAAGTTACAAAATAGGCAAACCAGAGATAAGCACCTTACATTAGTCCTTCAGGATGGCCCACAGACAGGTAAGGGCAGACAGACAAACAGATAATTTGTGACTAAGTCTACTCTGTTCTCCCCCTGGAACTAGGGACCAGGATCACACACAGAATGTGAGCTCCTGTCTTTAAGACTGCTGCCAAGTTAGGAGAAGGATTTGGCAAGGGCAAGTAAAATGCCACAATGCTTTCTTACTGTTTTCACATTTCTTTTTTCTTAATACAGTGTTCACTTGGTTGCTGTAAACTCTCGTTTCCCAGTTCTGACAAAGTTAGTTCTGACAGTTTCTGGTACTTCTGAAAATCTGGAGGTGTGAGTGTATGGAGCTGTCTACTCCACCATTTTCCTGATGTCACTCTACATTTTTTAAAACTATCATTAATTATATGTAGAAGAGGAATTCCTTAGCTTTAAAAAAAGGCATTTCCATGCTGTGATTTAGACCTGCATTTCTGAAAAGATTTCAGTGATAAGGAAATGTTAATTCTGGCATCTCAAAAGAAAACTGTCTTGGTCAAATAAATTTGGGAAAAGTATATGAAAAGCTCTGAAAAGTTGGAAAAGACCTTGCTTTTTATTTGAACCAAATATTTCCAGTTTTACTTAAGAGCCTTTCTTACTGATACTACAGATTAGCATTTGAAGAGCAGCGCTGTCACTATGGTAGGACAAGAAAAGTGGTCATAGTTCTTCAACTAGGTGTTGGGTGTCAGGAAGAGGTGCAGAGAAAGGCATGACTAGTACTCTTTGGGAACAAATATGAGTCAAAACCCCTTCTCCCCAGGAGTCCTGAGATAGATGAGGAAATACACGACAAGGAGGCCCCAGGTGATGTGAGCTGTATGAGTGGTAAGTGCTCAGGAAGGCATGAAAGGCAACATGGGGAGTGTGGGGAGGGACAGAGTAAATGAGGTTACAACCTGTCTAGAGTGAAATGCTGGGTGATCACCACAAGCTGGATGGTGGTTTTTAGTGTGAGCTATATTTCCAAACAAAACAAATGGGTCAGTGTTGTGGGATGCTACTCTTGACATTGTTTGTTTGTTTGTTTGTTTAGGGCACCAAGTAGATTCAGTCTATGGTTGGGGTGGAGAATGGGAGCTGGTGCTGCTAGTGCTGGACCTAAGCTGACAAGCTGAGGAAAGAGGAAAACTTTTATTGCAGGTATTTACACCATCATTTCCCTTCCCAGATTGTGGACCCTTACAGAGCCAGTGTAGTAACTGACTCTCCTTATTTCCAATGATGCCCAGAAGAATACTGAGGGAAAATTGACTATATAACATGATAAGACAACAATGATATTTCCTTAACCTGAAAACAGGAATGGAGAAAAGAGGACCTCTTCAAACAATGAAAACAAACCAACCCTACATTTACATCATTTTATTTGAATGGCTGGAAGAGTGGTTGTAATTATTCTGTCCATCCATCCACCTGGATAAACTCTGATTATCCATATAAGACAAAAATGCTCAGGGATTCTGAGCATCCCTTAATTCCATTATCATTCTGTGAATAAACTAGCCAGATAAATGCAATCATGAAAATATATCCTGTTAATGTCAGTTCTTCTCAAGTTAATTTATAGATTCAAAGTAATCCCAAACAAAATCACAGCTAGTTTGTAGATATTGACAAATGAGTTCTAAAGTTTATGTGGAGAGGAAAAAGCCCAGAACAGCCAACACAACAGTGAAGAACAAAGCTTGATGGTATTATCTGACTTCAAGACTTACTATAAAGGTACAGCAATAAGACAGGGTGGTAATTAGTGAAGGAAAAGGCAAATACATCAATATAACATCAGTGAAACAGAACCGAGGGCCTGAAACAGACCCACACAAAAATGGCCAACTGATCTTTGAAAATGGAGTAAGGACAATATAATGCAGCAGAAATTGTCTTTTCAGCAAATCGTGCCAAAACTGGACATCAACATGCAAACACAAACCTTACACACGTCGCAAAAATTAAATCAAAATGGATCAAAACCTAAATGTAAAACATTAAATTCCTGGAAGAATTTTGGAGAAAATCTAGGTGATCATGGGTATGATCATGACTTAAAATCTAACACCAAAGGCATGATCATGAAAGAAATCATTGGAAAGCTGGACTTAAGACTGAAAACCACTCCGTGAAAGACAATGTGAAGGAGTGAGAAGACCAGCCTTAGACTGGGAGAAAATATCTATAAAAGACTATCTGAAGATAGGACTGTTATGCAAAGAACTCTTCAAACTCAACAATGACAACCCAATTGGAAATGAGCAAAGACCTAAACACCTCACCCAAAAAGATATACAAATGGCAGAAAAGCACATGGAAAAATGTTTAACATCATAAATCACTAGGGAATTGCAAATTAAAACAACAGTGAGATAATACTACATACCTGATAGAATGGTCAAAATCCAAAACACTGACAACATCAACTACTCACGAGGATGTGGAGCACTAGGAGCTCTCAGTCATGGCTGGTGGGAATGCAAAATGGTACAGCCAACTTTGGAAGACAGTTTGGCAGTTTCTTACAAAACCAGATATGGTCTTACCAGTGATCCAGCAATTGTGTTCCTTGGTATTTACCCAAATGAGTTGAACAACAAACAGCAGCAGCAGCAGAGAAAAGCAGCAGAGAAAAGCAGCTGGACGGTGAAAGTCCTAATCTCACAGCTGTCTGCTCTGGGTCCAACGTGCATTGGGAAGGAAGGGAAGCAAACTACATATGCACACCTGTCAGGACATAATACAGCCATCCGGCCAACAGGACAAGGAGTCACAATTCTTGAGGATCCTTTTGGTTAAACAGATGACAAAGCAGAAGCGTCGCTCCCACACCACATCTGTGAAAGCTGGGGAACAGCATCCATGGAGCAGAAGCCTCTTCTGCTGGGCTTCCAAGTCCCATATGACTGGCTATAGCACCTTCTCTCTTTCCAAGGCCAACATATAATCTGAGACCGCAAACACCTTGAAAATTCACTGCACATGACAATCTACAATGAGACCAAGTGTTAAAGCAAAAATTTATTAAAATCCATTTTATATAGTGTTTTAGAGACAAAAAAATGGAGAGTCCTCAACATTCAGGCCAACTCTATCCTCAGAAGTGCTTCGGGAGAAGACAGATTCCTTTGCCCTTCCCTCCAAAAGATACTTCTGTTTATGCTCCTGAAAATGATGCATCACATGAAGTCAGATTCCTTTGCCCTCCCCTCCCAAAGAATGCTTCTATTTATACCCCTGAAAATGATGCATTTATAACCCCAACTCTCAAGGACAATCCCATTGAGATCCCCAAACCTCTGCAAAGTGAAGAGATATGAGCAGAGAACCTTCTCAGAATAAAAGTGCCTCAGAGGCGTAGTGCAAGAGATACATAACATGGTGACTGCTTCAGAGGAGTGTGCCCACTCCCAGTAGGTGGGCTGTGAAAGAGCCTGAGGGCCCAGCTGGGCAGCCACTAGCTTCGGAGTGTGGCCAGACGTGACTGCATGGCCTCCAGGGCCTCTTCTTCCTCCTCATCTTCTGATGCGGCCATGGCTCCTGAAGGTTCAGGCTCCGGAAGGGCGTCGGTCACTTTACTAGGTGCTTTGCCCAAGGCCCCTGAAACGAAACAGCAAACAAATGAACAAATTATCATTTTAAAGAAGTGGTCCCTTATCCTCTCTGCCTTTCGTACCTGAAGAGCCTAACAAGAAACAGAAAAGGGGCAATAAAACAAGCTGTTCGCGGGCGGATTTGCTCACTGTGACAAAAGTGCAAACGCCAACTTGTGATGATACCAAGGTCATAATAACGGAGGATTCGGGTTTTAAGAAATTTGGTACTGCCACTCTTGTTCTAAATTCCTAAACACTATTGAATACTTAAGTTTCAAGATCATGAAGATGTTACATGTCTCTCAGTAAAACTAAACTGTTTTTAAACTTCCACAAAAGGTTTTCCTGGAGGAACTAGTCTTTCCCAACAATTTAAAAACAAATAATTAAATAATTTTAAAACAGATAAAAATTAAATCTCATGAATTTTTTTGTTAAACATAAAACCCAAACTCCAGAAGTAAAAATAAAGCTTAAAACTTCATTAACCATTTTTCAGAGATGACTGTTTTTGTTCATCCTCTTTCCAGTCTTTTCTTATAGACATGTTTTTTACACACGAGCATGTATTTCAATAACAAGGCTCTTCTCACACATTATATTGTGAATGTCTTTCCATGTCAATGAACGTATTTCCACACTATCACAGCTATAAAGTATTCCATTAAAACAGATATAATTCAACCAGTATTCTATTAGTATCCATTTAGGTTATTTCAAACTTTTCAATATGATAAATAATGCTACAACAGACTTCCTTGAGTTAAACCTTTCAGCACATCCTTAATTACTAGTTTAAAATAAATTCCCAGAAATCAGTCTGACAGGTTGATGGCTTTTGACAGCTACTGCCTAATTGCTTTCAAGAAAGTCTATAGAAATTTAAGCTCCCCTGGGGCGCCTGGGTGGCTCAGTCGGTTGAGCGTCCGACTTCGGCTCAGGTCATGATCTCGCGGTCTGTGAGTTCGAGCCCCGCATCGGGCTCTGTGTTGATGGCTCAGAGCCTGGAGCCTGCTTCGGATTCTGTGTCTCCCTCTTTCTCTGACCCTCCCCCGCTCATGCTCTGTCTCTCTCTCTGTCAAAAATAAATAAAACATTTAAAAAAAAATAAAAAAAGAAAGAAATTTAAGCTCCCAACAGCAGTGTTGTGAGAGCAGTTTCTCCTCACCATTCTGAAAACTTTAGGAATTTTTAAAACTCTTTGCATTTTTAAAAGATCTTGAAAAATAAGCACAATATATAGCTAACTTGCATAAAGAGTCACTGCATTGCATTTACAGTCATAAAGAAAAAGGTACTAGGTAATTTAGTGAATGCAAGAAGAATGACCATAAACGGAGGAGAGAAAGTCGAAGAGTCTCAGGACATACCTGCTGTGATTTCAAACAGAATTTTGTCAATTTCCATTTCTGCTGCTTCTTCCATTTCTTCCTGATCATCCATGCTTTCAAAAGTATCCTCTAACATTTCTTCTATGATGCCAGCCTAAACACAGAAAAAATCACGTCACGTCCCTCAACTGGTAAAAATGTTCCTCACAGAAACATCTGTGGGTCCAGTTCCACCTGAGCTCTAGTGTCTGTAAGTCCAGACCACCCTTTTGACGGTGAACACTCAAGACAGATGGTCATGAGAAACAAGGATGCTGTCTGTCCTCTCTGAAGAAAGGCAATGGCCATAGGGAAACTTCCCAGACTCAGCACCAAGGTTGGACGGGGGCCTCTGTCAATGGAGCCTCTCACAGTAACCCAGACAGTAATGATGGCACTTGGGGAACAACTTGTTGATAGTGAGTGTGCCCTGAGCTGTCTTGGGAAGCATGAGCCTTAACGTTGCAAGCAGAGTCCGTGAGCACCGGACTTGAAACACAGTGTGAAAGCTGAGTGGAGTCTTAGTGGGCACTATGATAACAAGTACCAAGAGCAGAGTGGGGCTCCACGGAACCCTAAAAAGGCCTGAAGAGTACTTCAGCACGTCCAGGTCACAGCTGCTGGTGTAGGGCCAGTCCAGGGGGTCTGGCAAGGATCAATCAATTCACCAGAGCCTCATCCTCCATTCCTGACAGAATTGATCAGACAGCATTTCTGGACCCAACAAGGTAATGCCCAGACTCTACTGGAAGCCTTGTGCCTGGAAGCCTGAAGCCAGCCACTCAGCCTCCTTTCTCCTCGAGGTAGCAGGGCTCCAGTATGGCACACAAGAAAACTGTGCTCAGGGCGCCTGGCTGGCTTAGTTGGAAGAGCGTGCGACCCTTGATCTCTGTCTGGGTCGTGAGTTCGAGCCCCACACTTAAATAGATAAAACATTAAAAAAAAAAAAAAGGAAACTGTTCTTGAACACTTGCCAACACAGGCCAGACCCGCAGTCTTCCTTGCCAAGCACTGTCCTCAGCTCCCAACTAGGACCCTACTGACTGTTTTTTGTTTGGTTTTGAAGTAAAAGGTCAGAACAGCATCCTCCAATGTCAGAAAGAGGCCCCCTGGGGAGAAGAGGTGGGAAGGGACGGAGAGGCAGAAAGAAAGCAAGGGTTCGGGCTTCTGAGAAGCTGCCAATAGAGAAAAATCCTAACTGCTTTGCCACTTGCAACAGCTGAGCCCCTTGCTTTGTACCTAATCCAGTGATTCAAGGAGCAGAAAGTCACCTGTGACAGCTCCAGCCCTGGTTCCCTGCACTCGGCAGAGCATGACTCTCACTACCTACGCTGATGCTATCAGATGTAAAAGCAAGCCCTCTCTCCTGCCTGCCTTTGTGCTGCCAGAACACTCAAGTGACTCCTAATAACATGAATCAGAATAACCACATTCTACCCATTCTCAGATCCTTTCCTCTCAACCAAAATGAATAAACAGATTCAATTCAGATTCAATTCAATGGCCTGAATGAATGGATGTCATCTCAGTGCTGGAGGCTACTGAAAAGAGGTGCAGTACATGCTGGTTAACTAGTTACACGAGCCTCCTGGAATCCCGACTGTAACAGCCTTCCACATCCTGGAGGCAGAAACTGTTATTCATTTATCCACCTATTCAATCAGCAACCATTCATCAAATGCCTACTCTGTGCCACACAAAGGACAGGGGCTGGGACAAATGGAATGACTAATATCATGTCCCTGCCCTCGAGGAGCTGGGCCCCTACCACAGGCTTCAGTTTGTACTTGGGGATGTATATCCTGGAGTGACCTCAGTAACTATTATCTACTACATGCAGGCCTTCCTCCAAATCTATACTCCTTTCACTATTCAGAAACCACTGTGGCAAAGACCCCAGGTTCTTAAAGGGGCTTCCCCTCAGATCCTAGTGGTCACAAATTTAGAATTTAGCGGGCCTAAAGTCATTCCAAGAATTACCCTGTTATCCTGTTCTACATGGACAGTCATCACAACTTGGGAAAAAAAGATCCACGTACCACTTTTAAAGGACACACACTCCTGACCCTGGTCCCTCCTTCCTACTACTGCCCAAGGATTTCTCATCCCAAAGACCTAGGTTCTGAGCTTTATATGTTGCTATTGGTTTTCTCCAGTTCCTCTCCTCTATGCCTCAGAGTCCCGCATATAATTCAAGTTCATAAATGAAATTCCCTAGGAAGAAGAAACGCAATTTCTATGCACAAGCTGAAGTATACAATGTTGGCTCTTAGGTCACAAGTCAAAAGTGTGAAACACACCTGTCTGAGATACTTCCTACCACCATTTCTGAGGCAGCTCAAGCAATAAGGTCAGACATCTGTGCTCCAAGCCCAGATCTGTCACGACCAAGGCCACTTAGGTAAATTCCCTGGCAACTTGAAGACTCAATTTCCTCCTGTGTAAAATGGGGTAAAAAAAATATCTCCCCCACAGGGTCACTGGGAGGACTCTATAGGACAGCACGTGTGACGTACCACTGGCTGGCAGGGAACTCAGTAACCGTGCTCTTCTGAGCCTTGTCCCTCCCTGTCTGAAGGCCACCGGTATAGGTCCTCTCCAGGCCCTGATCCTGGGGGTGGCAGGTACTTACTGCTTTCGGTTCTCAGTCTCTCCTCTTCTGGCCTAAAATAGGCGACATTAAACTCCACAGAGTGTGGGCCAAATCCAGTCCACTGCCTGTTTTTGTAAAGTTTTACTTTGACACAGTCATGCTCATTTGTTTATATTATCTATGGCTGCTTTTGTGCTACAAAGCAGAGTTGAGTAGTTACAACAGAAATGTATGGCCCATAAAATATAAAATACATTTTATTATCTAGCCCTTTACAGAAAAGGTTTGCCAATTCCTGGTCTGGAACGACTTCCCTCCCCAGCGTCACTAATACTCCCCTGAGGAAGACCCTGGTTTCTTTCTGTCTCCCTGCTCATGTTGGAGCCTGGAAACTCTAGCTCCCTGAATCCTCCACCTCCCCTTGAGCCTTGGGTATACTTTCACTTCTTCTAAGGAACACTGGCAATCTGACCCATCCTCTGCCATGCTCAGTTCAGACAGTTTCAACCAGTGCTAATAGCTGCTCCTCGGTCTTCAAAATCATTTCTGTCCGGCAACAGTGGTCCGTCCATTCCCACCCAGCCCCAGCCCCCTGCTCTGCTGGAAGTGACTGCTAACTGTTTGGAATAGGATGCAGAGTTGGCCCCAGGTCACCTTCATCATCTCTTTGGATAGCTCCCTCATGGTGGCCTGGATTTCTGGGATCTTCACAAGGCTCTGCATGGCCTTCATCACTTCTGTGCTCTTCTGTAGGGAACCGGCCACTCGCAAAACCGCTGAAAAGGAAAAGGAACAGGATCATTCAACAGAATGTGACACAGGATTGGGAATAAAGCATGACAGTCAGGTGCGCCTAGGTAGCTCAGGTGGTTAAACATCTGAGTCTTGATCTCAGCTCAGGTCTTGATATCAGGGTCGTGAGTTCAAGCCTCGCCCTGCGCTCTGTGGCAGGTGTGAAGCCTAATTAACAACAACAAAGAAAGAGTGATAGTCAAATTATAAGCTATTCTAATAAAAGAGAACAGTAGTAGGTAGACTCCCAAAACTATCTGTGAACCTACATTACTATGCTAGTTGACCAAGAGACTGACTTTTCTAAACCGTACACTTTAGCTACAACAGGTACAAACTCTGAGCATGCACACCATCCGGCTGATGTGGAAAGCAGCCTGAAGGCGTGCATCTGAGCTTTAGGGAAGGAAGCCCGCTAGGAATGACTGTGATACTAGGACAAGTCACACGGGAGGAACAGCTCTAGATCTTGCCAGGGCCACACTGGAAAATACAACACTTTAGGCTATACACAACTAGTGTTCCCCATACACCAGCCTATGGATGGCTGCTGCTCTCTGAGGGCCCTGTCACTAGTCCTCAGCAAAATAAGAGAAATCAGGATGAGATATATAGTGAGTCTACGTGTTGCTGTATGGCGGTTACAGTTCCTTGCTACGGAAACATTTTCTGTAGTTCGATCATATACACACTTCTATACAAGAAATCACGGTAATAGCAAATGATCATCCCTCTGCCCTGCACCCTACCCACCACCACACACACATCTTTAACATATCAAAGATATGGCAGCCTTCCAAATCTGTTTTGCAATATCATGAGACTTAAAGTTCTAAGCTGTCCAACAAAACTGGCACAGAGACTGCCTGAGCACTGCAGTGCCTGGCTAAGCTACGAGTTACTAAAAATTTACCCATCTGAATCCAGACTCTAGGCAGCTCTCACATGTAAGGGAAAACAAGAGGCAAGGAAACAAGAGTGACCAGGGAAATAGCTGGGTGACATACACACCATTTTGCGATTTTTCTAAAGGAGTAAGGAAGTTTGTTAGTTGCAGAGAATTCTTCATTTCTCCTTAACATTGGAATGGGGAAGTGAAATACTGATCTATTAAGATTAAGATTAGTATATATTACAGCAGAAATATCAAGAATCTGTATGGCTGAAATAACAAATTATATATGCCATTATAATGATACAAAAAAGTTTTAAAATATTAAAGTTACTATTGGCTATTATAAAAAGGTAAGTGAGGGAAAGAAGGGCAAAAATAAAGTTTATTCCATATAGTTCTTTTTGAACTATAAAGTTTGATGTCTACGCAGGCCCATGTTTTATCCTAATTTACATGCTGAGTTTCCCACAGAGAATGCTTGAACATGACATGTGTTCAATAAACTTTTTTGAGTTGAATTAGTAAAAAAAATAAAAATAAAAAGATGGGAGCTAAAGAAAAAAACTGGTGTGATAAGTATTAAATACTAAAACATTTGTACTTTGAAAAGGGTATGAGTTTCTGATTGTTAAAAGAAACAAGAGAGGTGCCTGGGTGGCTCAGTTGGTTGGGCATCTTGACTCTTGATTTTGGCTTAGGTCATTATCTAATGGTTTGGGAGTTCGAGCCCTGCGTCTCCCTCTCTCTCTGCCCCTCTCCTGCTCTCTCTCTCTCTCTCAAAATAAACAAACAAAAAAAAAAAAGAAGAAGAAGAAGAAGAAGCAAAGGAAGAGTATAGTGGGAAAAGAAGAAGCAAAAATAAACTTAGAAATAAAACTAATCCCAAAAGACTTTAATTTGATTGCCAATCAGGATTGGGGGAAGTAGATTTTTAAAAGGCCAATGCTACAATGGAAACTCAAAACAAAGAAAGATGAATATACAAAGAAAAATAAAAGACTAAAAACTAAAATGTACTTTCTATGTTCCACAAGGAAAGAAGCATGTGAGGAAGATAAAAACTGTTTTATAATAATAAGTCACCCCTACAGCAGAATGAGAAGTAGGCCATAAGCTGGAAGATAATATTTGCAAAAAACAAATGAGAAAGGAATGTTTATCCAACGTATGCAAAGAACTCTTAAAACTCAGTAAGAAAATGAACAATCCAATTAAAAATGGGCAAAGACCTAAACAGATACCTCACCAAAAAAGATGGCAAAAACCCCGCAAACCCCACACGAAAAGATGATCAACATATCATTAGGGAATTGCAAACTAAAACAAGGAGATACCGCTACACATCTATTAAAATGTCAAAATCCAAAACACTGACAACACTCAATGCTGGTGAGGATGTGGAGCAACAGCAACTGCTGGTGGGAATGCAAAATGGTACAGCCACTTTGGAAGACAATTTGGCAGTTTCTTACAAAATTAAACCTACTCTTATATATGAGCTCCTTGGTATTTACCCAAATGAGCTGAAATGTACGTCTACACAAAAACCTGCAGATTGACAGCTTTCTTCATTATTGCCCAAACTTAGAAGCAACCAAGATGTTGCTTGCAAAAGAACAACAATAATGGAGCAGATAAAGCGTGGTATATACAAGGGAATATTCAATGTTAAAAAAAGCTCTCAAGCCATTAAAAAAATGAAGGTAACTGGGGCACCTGCGTGCTTCAGTCAGTTGGGCATCCGACTTTGGCTCAGGTCATGATCTCACAGTTTTTGAGTTTGAGCCCTGCATGGGGCTCTGTGCTGACAGCTCGAAGCCTAGAGCCTGCTTTGGATTCTGTGTCTCCCTCTTTCTCTGCCTCTCCCCCACCGTGCTCCCTCTCTCTCTCTCTCTCTCTCTCTCTCTCTCAAATAAGTAAACCTTAAAAAAAAAATGAAGGAAATTTACTTACATGCATATTACTAAATGAAAGAAACAAATCTAAAAGGCTTACTTAACACATTGTATCAGTCCAACTATATGACATTCTGGAAAAGGCAAACACTATGGAGACAGTAAAAAGATCAATGGTTGCTTGGGGTGGGAGGGAGGAGTGAACAGGCAGAGCACAGAAGATTTTTTAGCTACACATATTTCACAATAAAAAAAGAATCTCCAAAAAGGTTAGAATGATACAGAAAACAAGAGGTTAGCATTATAAAAACTACCTGACATTTAAAATTAGAAAGAGCAAAGTCACACGGGAAGGGATCATGACATGAGCCTCAGTGCCTGGTTATAGCTCTTTCTGCTAGTCCCTCCCCAGCCCACCGCCAGATCTTCCTGCTGTTTTTCCAGCATTCCAGGCTCCTCCAGCTGCAAGGTCTCTGTATGCTCCTCCCTCAATATGCAGGGCAGGGCCCAACTAACAGCTCTAGAGAGTAGAGACCTAATGGATGGATTTCTTTTTTTAACAGTATGCTTCATGAATTTGCATACCATCCTTCTGCACAGACCATTGAATCTTCTCATTAAAGTCACCATTCTGGTAATATGTGCTGCCCAAGAGAAGACAAGATATCTTTTTTATTTGGAGGTGGACTCATGATTTTATTCCCAGTGCCTTCCATTGTGCCTGACACAGCTGACTCTCAAATGTTGAATAAACCAATGAATGCATTTAGAAGACAACAAGCAAAACTATGATATTCAAACTGGATTTTAAAAAATGTTAAACATATTCACGTCTTAACAGCAAGCAACACTGAGGTGGTTAATAAAGACTCAAATGCCTCTACATATAATGACATATTTAGATCAGAAATGTGTTATTCCCTTCTTGTACTGACCATAAAAATTCCAGAGCGTTTCTTTATGGAAATAAATAAAATCAACCAATTTCATATGGCAAAATGAAGGGGAGGGACTTTAACAAATAGAAACTAGTTCTCCCCAAATTTTCAATTACATAGAATGATGGCACCTGGGGAACAACTTGTTGAAACTCTCAACTTCTCACTTCACCTCCTTCCAACTCCTGGCAACCACCAATGTACTTTCTGTGTCTGTGGATCTGACTATTCTAGGCACCTCATGTAAGTGGAATCATAGTTATCTGTCCTTCTGGGACAGGCCTGTTTCACTTAGCATAATGCCTTCAAGGTTTATCCACATTGTAACAAAGTGTCAGCATTTCCTTCCTTCCTTCCTTTTTTTTTTTTTTTTTTTTTAAAGTTTGAGAGTGAGAGAGAGTGCGAGCAGGGGAGGAGCAAAGAGAGGGGGAGAGAGAATCCCAAGCTGGCTCTGCATTAACAGCACAGAGCCTGACTTAGGGCTCGATCCCACGAACCATGAGTTCATGACCTGATCAAAAATCAAGAGTTGCACACTCAACCAACTCAGGCACCCAGGCGCCCCATCATTTTTTTCCTTTTAAGGCTGAATAATATTGTGTGTATATATACCACATTTTGTTTATCTATTCATCCTTCAATGGATACTTGGGTTACCTTTACCTTTTGCCTATTGTCAATAATGTGACTATGAACATGGATGTACAAATATCTGTTTGAGTCCCTATTTTCAATTATTTTGGGTATATACCCAGAGACATTATTTCTGAATCATATGGTAATTCTATTTCCTATCTCACCTTTGAAACTTTCTCTTAACTTACTCCCCCTTTTAAAGCATACTCATCATCTGTCTTATTCTGCAAGAAGCTGCTGTCAGAAAGCTATCACTTGGAAAGCATCTAATCATAACGTATTAATAGCTGACAAGGCTTAACATGTTACCCTTCCCAGGGATATCTGCATTTTAGCTGAAGATCTTGAGGAAAGTGACTTCATCAAATGGTGGCTTTTCAAAGCAACAACAGGCTAGGATAGAAGGGGGGCAGACATTGAGGGCAAGACCCTAATCTTAGGAACTCTCATTATAGTATTTCTAGTTTTCTCTTCTCTCATTCCAAAATATAGACTCCTCCCTCCTGCTCTGTCCTCGGTGCCACCCTTCTCTGCTGTATTTAATTTGCCATCAGGAACATCCTACTATAAGGCCTCTCAACAACCTCCCCAGGGCTTCCTCCCACCAGCCTGGTGCCTAA